TCTCTCTCTCTCTCTCTCTCTCTCTCTCTCTCTCTCTCTCTCTCTCTCTCTCTCTCTCTCTCTCTCTCCCTGTGTGTGTGTGTGTGTGTGTGTGACGTGAGGCAGGCGTCGGTGTGCGTCCAACAGACCAATGCTGGTGTGACCAACGTTCAACGGCCTTATAGCTGTGGCCTCGGACGCTGGTCGGTTCCCTCCAGCCGTCAGTGCCCTGAAAGGGTCTGATGGCTGGCAGACCGCGTTCTTTTTCTTTAAAAAAAATCAAAAAAAAAATTGGCAGCACAGAGGGTCCGCGACTGCCTGGGCTACCCTCCCACGCCGCCGGAGTGCGGATACCCCAACCCCAACGCGCGCAGTTGTCATCCGCCGGGGGGCGCTCTTCCCCCGTTGAACTGGGGGTTGGGCGGGGTTAGAGCACCGGTAGAACGCCGCTCTACCCCGTTGAACTGGGGGTAGGGCGGGGGTAGAACGCCGCTCTACCGGTAGAGCGGGAACCCCCCGTTCTACCTCCCTGTGAATGTGTGTTTTTGTGTGTGTGTGAGAGAGGGAGGGGATTGTACAAAGTATTCGCATGATTAGACTGAAAAACCTCAACCTTCTGCGCACTCCCTTCCCACCTCTTTCCACCCCATTCCTCCATCCCGTGCTGTGGTGTGGCCACGCCTTGAGCAGCGGAAGAGAGAGAAGATTTGCTGCAAACTTCTGTAGACATTAAATAGTGAATGCTAGAACCTCTTGGTCACATAAGGCATTATTATTGGATCCAGAATTCAGCAAGTCGAATGAAGCAGTTACTTCTACAGGGGACGAGGCAAAAGTGGTACGATGTTCAGTGGGGTCTGTTATTGACAAGGACACGAATGACATGCGAAATGAGCTCATGCTAGCATAACACACTAGCACCACTTATTCAAGGACGCCGTCACCGCAGCAGCTAATCGATAAACCGCAGATACATCCAAAAATGCTCTCGGATGATTGGAGGCAAGAGGAGACTATAGTGACATCAACAAATGTTGAATCCCAGCTTAATGAATAATAGATCATCAGGCGGTAGTCTGATGGGCCTAATAGAAATGCCCCGACAGGGTGTTACATCCACACCTCAAACTTCACTGTGCAGCTCCTAGACAGGCAGAAGGACGGATCAATTGAAGATCTGAAGCAGGAACAAATCCTCCTCCTTCCAACCCCTTTTGACAAAACACACCTTCCCTCCATTTCTACAAAAGAAAGAATGAAATAGTGGGAAATAGTGGAAAAGAAAGAAACACGAGACAGGCAAAGCGAATTATGTATTTGCGTCCTCGACGAACCCGGCGTAAGTCAAATGCATCCTGCTGAATCTAACCGCACCCTTTAGCCAGTGGCAGGGCTTTATGTTCCCTCTGTCTCCAGCTCCTGACGATGACCCCCAAGGCCCACCAATCACTGAGGAAGATGAGGCTACCCCATCTTCCAACAATAGCCACGGGTCCAATTCTACTTCGCAGTCTCCAGAAGACCCTACATCTGCTGCTGATACTGACGCTGCTCTCGGAGTCCCACCGGCAGAGCACTGAGAGATGAACAGAGCGCGCTGAGCAGCTGTCATTCCGTGAGTCGGCGGTGCATCGTGCGCACACGGACTCAGCGATACTTGTGGCTCGGTGACAATGGGAAACGCCTGTGTTGATGTAAGACTGGGAAGGATTCCAGGAGCTGCACACACTCTGGGTGCCGGATGTAGAGGAAAGCATGGCAAAGCTGCTTGTATACAATTGTGAATCGACCGCGGTAGCTTGAATCTCTCGAGATCTTGCTGCATCTTCTCCGCAATTTCCCTTTCAAACGCCCGAACCTTAGATCCCTTTTCCTTCTTTTTTGGCTTAAGCCATCCTGGCATCACACTGCTCAGCAGTGCATGAAACACGCTCAGCAGCCGCTCAAACAAGCCTTCGCCCATGGTGGCAATTGCAGCAGTTGCTGCAGCTGATGCTTCAAGTGTGTTTGCTCCCCCTGCTTGAGAAAGTGTGAAACCTCCATTTGACTGCAGCAACACGCAATCGTTGCTGGCTAGGCTGGGGAACATAGACTCTTGCACAACACCGGTCGCAAGGAGACGTAGAAGGGCATGCGCAAGGCTATGTCGCATGTTCCATGGGTCCCGCGCGTACACAAACGGTAAAAGTGGAAGAAGAAATCCAAGCCGCAGCCAAATTGATGGTTGCAGAGCAGCAGCAGCATTAGACACAGCAACAGCTCCCGCACCCGTGCTGACGTTGACATTCTGTGAGGGCACTATCCTCCTCCTTGCCTGGCCAAGGCCGGAGCTCTCCGCAGCATATACCTCACTGCCACACCATGCACTCGGCTTAGGGCATTGTGCATCCACTCCCTGACTTAGAATCCCCCTGCTCAGCTGGCTGATATGTTGCTCCAAGCTATGCAGCTGCTTGATCAGGTCATTCAGTATGTTGTTCAGACCTTCGGTAGAGGAGTTGCTCGCCAGCCGTGGAAGGACCAGCTCTGCAAGCGCCCTTTCTGCAGCGAATGGTACAGATTTCAACCCATTTTCTAGCCTTCTCTTGGAAGCCTGGAGCTCTTTATGTTCCAAACACTTGGAGTTTTCGGCACTGCACGCTCTCTTTCTTCTGCTACCTGAACACGCTTTGCGACTTTGCCAGCTTAGCATGCTCTTCTTAAGGCGATTGGGGTGGAGATGTGCGTTACTGAGCATCATGCTCGTAAGACCAAATCTTTCTATGGTGTTGCAAAGCACCTGGCAGAGTGATCTTCTCCCAAGGAGGTGATCCAGATTCTCCAAAACGGTCGACTTCACATTCGAGATGAGCTGCTCCTCGAGGGCGCGACCAAGGAAACGCACTGCTTCGCTGTAGAGAGTGGCCGCTTCCGGACGCGTCAGCAGCCTTGTCAACACCACAGCCTGGATGAATACCTTCTCGCAATCCGTGAGGGACGCCTTGCACTGCGCCGTGTCTGCAGCTTGGATTGCTTCGCCAGCCGTTGCACCCATAGATAGCTTCTCAAGCACCACCTGTTCATTCAGAAGCAGCCTTAGTTCCACCCACTGCAACCCAAATGATCCAAGCTGCAAATTATCCAGGATTTGCACCAGCTCAGGGAGCTTAAGGGAGATGGCACTGTCATCCCTCCCACCCAGATCGCCAATTGGTGGAGGATTCCCTGCAAAGACCCATTTATCTCCCTGCTGGCACGGCATTTTTTGGTCGCGCAATGCAGAAAAGAAGAGTCGAAAGGTTGAAGGGACGAGCATAAACGCCCGGTGTGCGTTGTCCACAATTTTGTTTGCGTCAAGAAACTCTGCAATCTCCACTTCTGGTGAAATTTCTTTCGAGAGCAAGGAGTACAGCACGCTGGAGTCCCTTAGGCAGACCTCTCGAAATGGAGGATGTCCGATGAGCTCCCTCATAGCCGCATTCGCCATACCGCTCAGCGTTTCCCAAAACCCACCCTTTTCCGGCCAGTTCTTATGAACCAGACCCTTCTGCGGTCCAATGACTGCGGAAAACAATTTATAGCCTAATCGTATGACAACCTCCAGGTTAGCACATCGTTGTACACGAGTTAATCCCACCAAATCTGCAGCACCAACAACGTCGCCCACCATCCCCTCCGACACACCTGCGCAATCACCCACCAGCACACGAAGCAAGAACAATGATACTTCTGCCGCAGTTTTCTCATTTCTAGAAGATGACTCCTTGCTTCCTGCACCACAACTCGCCGTCGACAGCAATCCTGTTAGTCCTCGCTGCAGTTGATCCAAGCCCTCGCTAATCCTGAGAGAGTAAATCACCTTTTCCCAATCTAGAACCCCTGCCACAATCGCCATCACGATAAAGGCAGCAGCTCCCACAGCCATCATCATTTGCTTCCCCCTGCCACCACCGCCTGCACTTATTGCTGTCTCTGCACTCACCGGTGTGTTCGCTCCCCCCGCCGAAGAATCCTGCTGCGCTCCACGTATCACTCCTCTTCCACCAGCACCAAATGCAGAATGTATCTGGACTAAAACCTCTGAAATCACCGCATCCTCCATCGCCGGCGTCAGTCCAGGCCCCAACACCTCCTTGACCATCGCCAAGGACTGGACATGCATTTGGATCATCCGGTGGGCACATCGAGCAGTCTGAGCGTATTTCTGCAACCCGCCCCCCAACTCCAACGTCTGCAGCATGCTAACCGCACAATTAACTGTGCTAATCACCAGAGCGGTTCCCGCAGCCATGATGTACACTCCCTGAGGGTGCTGATTCTGACTTTGAAAACTCTGTATAGCATTTGCAACCTGCATGGCTACTTCCCTGACTCCGTCCATGCGATTCATAGTCTTGAATCGCAACTTCTCTAACTCTGCCCGACCCAAGTTCTCTTTGAGCCCCAGCTCTGCATCCCGCTCGATCCCCACCAGGTTGCCCTTTGCCACATGCACAACCTGCCTGAAAGACTGCAGAATGCTGTTCGCCAACTTCCGCAACTGACCCCTCATCTTGTCCCCCCTGGGAATCCCATGAACATCTGTGCCTGTATCTACATTCACACTATCACCTGACCTGAGGGACCCGGCATCCCCTAAAACCCAATGGTCAAGCTGAAACCTCCACCTTCCTTCGCAATGACCTAATGTCACAATATCCTTGTACCTGCTCAGCAAATCCTGTGCATATGCCCCCAGCGGTCCATTGCCCGGCTGACTCAAGGCCGACGCCGACGTCAACTCCACGGCCCTTACCATGACAGCCGAAAACATGTCGGGAAGGAGATTCATGGCAACCACCATGCTCTCATACCGCCTTAGCCCGGCGACAAGAGAAAGCTCACCGATGCAGGATCTGCACAACAAGGACGGGCCCATTCTGTCTTTCCCAGGTGTCCCACTCGTCCCAGAGGGTGGTTTGGCCAGCGTGCCGTGCAGCAACAAGGGATTCCTTAAGAGCCGAAGAAGAAAATGAACGAGCAACCTGTAGTCCTGACAAATATCGAAAACGAACAAGATCCCAGTAAATTCCTCTTCCGTTAATCTCCACCTTCCTGCTGCTTCGTGTGCGCTCCACCCACTCGCGCTCTGACCCTCATTCCCATCCCCACTCCCGTCGGTCCGCATGCTGCCACCGAGAAGCTTCCTCACTACACCATCTAGCCATCTAGACACCTTTCTCTTGTCTCGTAAGCTCAGTCGACGAGTTTCCAGGCTAATGGAAGCAGCCTTACCACTGGAACAACCTAACCTGCTCGGGCCCTCAGACGCAATATGCGCGGTTACAGACGTACTAGCACCACTAGTTCCTCTGTCCTGAACCTGATCCCCGTTCCACTGCGCACCACAACGATGATAGAGATTCTCCGAGCCGCTTTCACTTTCATTCACCCGTCCGCAGTAACCTGGCAATGCAGTATCACTGCCCTGACTGACGAAATCACCACCCCCACCCTCCTTTCTCCTGGTGGCATCATAATCTGGAGATGTAACAGATGTAACCTGTTGATTGCCACCATTGGGCTCCTGCCTTGTCTTACTGGACCGCTTCAACCACCACAGCTCCTCTTCATCTGTTATTATGTCCACAGGACAGAGATCTGCACAGCCATCTCCTCCGCGGATAGCAGCACCTGCCCTGTCAATCTGTGTCTCCGAGTCTATGTGCTTTTGCACCCTCCTCCTTTTCATATCCGTTGTGTCTGCTGCTCCTAAGGTGGTCTTCTTTTTCAACAAATTACCGCCTCCGTGGAGCTGGTCCTCGCCTGCAGCACCGGTTTCTTTCCTCTTTGCGTCTGCGCCTTCTGATTTCCCGCCCCCCTCTGAACTTGCACCGTCACGTCGACACCACTCACCTGTTCCTGCCTCAGGAGGCAGATGAAGCATGTCCGCAACAGCCGCCTTTACACGCTCAATTCTCTCTCTATGTTTTCGCACTGTCAAGTAATCGCTCTCCTCAATCATGGCGGGGAAAACTTGGCCCCCCTCATGCTCTTCCTTCTGGATATAATATTCCTCCTCATCTTTCCGTGTCCTGTTCAATTGTTTACGTCGCTTTCCCCAAAAATAGTGGAGCACAAAGTGACACTCGTTCAGAAAGGCCTTAGCCCGAATCGACTGCTCCTCCTGCTTACCCCACAAAAAGGCCATAGTCTCAGGAGGATTGGTGCCAGCAGCAGCAGCAGCAGCAGCAGATCTGAGGCGCCCACCATGCAAATCATCTTGGCCCTCTCCATCCTCCCCACCCACACAGCTGGGCTGCTCTAGATCCTCTGTTATCAGCATTTCTCTCAAATATAGATAATGCCGCCAAGCTCTGGATCGTTCTGCCACCGTCCTCTGCTTGTCAAGAATACCCTCAGAGATCAACTTATGCAAATAGAGGTCTGGGAAAAACATACCCTCCTGGGCCAATTCTGCAATCAACAGGTGAAGGTTCAAGTCCCCTGCTCCCCCTTCTGGCTCGTGGTTATCGAGCCACCGAAAGACCATCTCATGAGTCATTTCCCCTGGTGCGTTTCCCGCCCCACCCTGCACACCATCCCCCCCTTGCAATCCATATCCTGAACACCTCAGGTCCTCCATTTTCAATCTAAGTATCGACACTGCTGTGTACACCCTTGCCTTATCCTCTCCCTCTCCATGGACGACCCTTCCACAACGTGGAGGGGGCGACGTTGGGCCCCACCCACTGTGCCCAAGACCAGAAACACCCCATTCACAGATGAACTGCACCACTTGGTCGTCTGTCACCAGACCCTTCTTGGCATCCTCCCACCCTGTGGAGCCCATAAGTTGCCCATGAAGGGTGTCCTCCACACTCTTGCACGCAGATATGAGATCCCCAGTCTGCAGCGCACGTTCCAGCGCTTGAACCGCCATCACTAGATTGTTACGCAGTACCGCCGGGTTTACCGCCGACGCGAGCAATCCAGCTCGTTCCTTCACACATTTGATCACCTCTCCGCACACAGGTTCCCTCCATCCCTCCGGCGGCTGCTCCCATGCTTTGGCTGTGCTCTCACCCGCAGCTTTTTGACTCATTGACAGCCAGTGAACTCCACAGCCTGCCGCCCTGTTGTCGTGAACTACAGGCCGAAACCGATCACCGGGAGACTTCATGGTCCCGCTACCGGTAGTTGGATTGTCATGCGCAATTGCAATTGGCACACATTTGGGAAAGGACTCAAATGCAACGAAGGAGTCAGGTACGGATACAATCAAGTACCGGAGGAGCTCGATCAGCGAAACACAGAGAGTATGCAGTCTTCTGGATGGGGGGGGGGGGGGGGGGGGTGCGCGAAGACCATCTCCACACACAGAGTAGTTCTCCTTCAGCCAGATCGTGATTAAGTCGACCAACATTCGCAGGTGCAATTGTGACAGGGCCACGCCCTCCACCATCACAAGCACAAGGGGTATGAGCAACTCCCAGCACTCCAGCGACTTCCTCTCCTGAAGCTGCTTCAACAGCCAGTCAGCAAGCATGGCTCTATTGATCA